ATATATATATATATATATATATAAAATTCTTGAATTCCTTACATCACAAAATGGTTGTAACTCATGCAATGTGAATATTTCTTCAAAACACTCAGTTAAAGAAGTATTTGTTTAAAACGTGTTAGTATATGATTAATAGGGACCGGATTTCAACGCGCAAAAACATAAGTTCAATATTTCAACGTTCGAGTATCTATGCTAAAGTTTTATGATTTTAGTGGCACAGTCTTAACAATTTAAGCTAAAATTGAATAAAGCGCATATTATTTTTTTCTTTTATATTATGTTATTGTAAGTAGCATCTCTGCGAAGTCTTAGCCGTAGATAATTAAGTAAGAGACATTAGTGATATGTTTAAGTCTAAATTTATTCAACAGAAAAGCAATCATTTGTCTTCTTAACTAATGTGGTCTTTTATATTTATGCGAGAACAGACGAGTTGCACAGGTGATATTTACAAAAATTTATGTCGTTCTTGCTTCTGAATATACAGATTGCTTTAAACAATATACTTATCCCGCAATCTCATTCTACATGTATATTTCATCTCCAAGGATAGTTGTCGATCTCAAACATACATTACTTTGATTCCTTTTAATTTGTTTTATTTGTTGAATCAGCTGGTGCTGCTGTAGGCATTAATCGGAGCAGTACTATCTTTGAATTAGTAACTGTGTTCAAAAGTACACAATCATTATACGTCAAGTTTGAGAAGTTAATGAAGAGTTATGAAATCCTTACATTCAAAGTAGAGAAGAGTACGTGGGACCGTGTTGAAAATAAACGAAGTTTGAGAAGGAGAAACTTACGAAGCTTGATGAGATGTACAAAATCGATCGTTATTTGCTCATAGTTAAGTGCATTCTAGCTTGCGAGTGTAAAGAGTTCCACGTGTATACAAGTTGGCTCAAGATAAATGTTGCAAACTTCTGTGGCGTTCGTTACCTAATAGTCATATGCAAATGTTACATACGTAAATACGTTATAAGTAATTTCCCATCACATATTCACCGGTGAAAGGTAGTCATTGCCCCCCTCACATGCTCAAAAGATTGTAACATTTATTCTGAGACATCTGTGTATGAAGTGCAATGTTTGTCGTCGGAGTTACATTGTATAAGCATCCTGCATATCATGTTTACTTTTAATTTTCTTCATAAATCGACCGGTGTAATTTAATTCATAACCCATAACGTTCTCTATTCTACGATACTGAGCGCGCGCATGTGTGTTTGTGTGCGTGCAGTGCTTGGTGGGCAACAAGTACGGGCCGGTGCCGCTGCCCGCGCGCCTGGACGGGGATGTGTACGAGGCGCTGTACGCGGCCGCCGTCGACATGGGGCTGAAGGCCGGCCTGCTCGACACCTGGTACGGCCGCAACGACACAGCCTACGTGCTTCAGCAGCCCAGGTGGGTTGGCATTGCCACTCTCATTGTTTTCATCTTCGTAGCTGGAATGTTACACAAAAAATGCATATCATTTTCTCTTGCACTTGCACTTGCATATCATTTTCTCGTTTTTCCAGTTCTTACATGTATTATAAATGACATCCAGTTCAGTGATTAACGATAGAGCACCTAGGCGTAAACCAGAAAACATGGGTTTGATTTCAGGTCAGGCTGACAAATACTTTGAACCATTTGAATGATTGTGACGTAAGTGATGTAATTGTTGTATTTGCAATGCTCTTCCTTCACTAAGTGACTACTTTGAGGTTCCCATTGATGACTGATCATAACATTATTTTCCCAGAGAGAATTTTTCTTTTATCGTAATCATTTTTATTGTTATTGCGTGATGTTATCACTCAAAATGTTATATAAGAAAAAATAATGTATTTCATTAAAAACAGGATCTTAATTTTCCAAAATATCTTTTGTTAACGTTTAGGAGATATTTTTGTTTCGACAAACAAATTTTTAATACTCTTGAAATGTACCATTATGAAAATTATATTATATACGGATGGCTAAAATAGATATTTATGATACGAGTGATCAAGGTAACATTTTATTTTGCCAGAAGGAAATGTTGGGACACGATGCCCACAGGCCGAGTGCGCGTTTCTACGAGCAAATAAAAATCGCTATTACCGCGTGTTATACTCTGTTTTTTGGACATTCTTACTGACATTCATTTTTAATTTTAATTTAAATATACAAATCACTTCATGATACATCAAGGTCAATAGCATCTGATGCCGTCAGATAAATGTATTTTGTTTGCTTTGTTGCAATCGTAGATGGCAATTCAACATCGTCTAATTTTGTACTAGTGCAAAAAAATTTTGTGCAAGTGCACAGTGCAAAAAACTTTAGCATTCTATGCTTATGGCTTTTACTAATAGCCGTCTGATAATAGTAATTTTGCAATTATATGCAAACAGTGGCCTGCAGAAGCTTAAATGTTAATGAACAGAAAAATATAAAATGGTTTTCAAAACGTTAGCACGCACGTTGCTCAAGAAAAAAACACTCTCGTTAACCACCGCCTATGTAAATTAAGTATTTAACAAAAATATTCTCACTAACACTACAGTAACTTTGTGTAGAGCATATACAGCACCGCAATAGTTCTTAATATCTGAAGATGCGAAAAAGGAGCATGATTGGCAAAAATTTAACTGCGAGCGGTCTCTTCCTTGTAGCCTTGCTGTCGCACGACGTCCGTTCTGTCATAAGCAGAGACGAACTTAGTTTGATAATGCAATGGGTAAGTGCAGTAGAATAATATGCGGAATAACACAATCAAATATTTGTATTCAGACAAAATCGAAACTTTCATAGTTTATTAATTTTCTCCGAGTTTCTAGGTATCTAAAAAACCACAGGCAGCTCTTATGTGGCCAAAGGCTGCATAGATTTATTTCAAATTCTCTGCGATTTGAAATTATTAATATAGTTTTTTATTATTATAAATATGTCTTTGATGAAAACTGTAAATTAAGCCTCGTAAATTTGAGTAAGCCTTCGATTAAGCCTTGTAAATTGTTTTCGTTGATTTTTATGACGTCCACCTGCAGAAGTTGAAGTTCTCCGACTAACTCTAACTATTGAAAGCACGGAGGGACCCAGCGTCTTCTCAGCGGACGGCCTCAGGGGCATCTTAATGGAGCACCCCATGTGTCAGCATTAGCGACCCGCCCTCTCCCCGCGCAGCCGTCCCCGGGGGGCCGTCAACCACCACTTTGGCTGTGGCAGGCACGCGGCGACTGCTCTAGGGCCCTCGCGGGGCTAGCCACGGAGCGCGTCCCTCGGCGCGACGTGTTCCGAGCTAAATCATCGCTGTTGCTGATGTCGCGGCTCTCGAGATACACGCTGTTTTATACGCGAAAGAAAAGAAACCCCTCCGAGGGAGTACACGGTCTGGGCGTTGGTGGTGGGGTTGCAGTAACCCAATGACCTTGAGAGCTATTCTATCTGTAGCGTACATACAGGCGAGACTTCTGTTGCCGGTCAGGACGAAGGAGCGGAGTCACCAAGAAGTACTTCGAAATAGGACCTCTACGCCAAGAAGACTCCCTAGAAGTGATTCCAGAAGAGGATCATGCGAGGATCATCAGCATGACAGAGTCAGCGAGGACCTCTATGGAGATATAACTGATGTGGAAGCAGTCTCTCTAGGGTATAAAACTTTATACAAATTCTGCTTCTACGGAAACAGTGAAATGGCAGCAAAAATTCCCTCTGTAGAGCGGTAAGTGGAGGATTTTGTTTCTGGCTCATTCAGTGATAGCAAACAGAATCCGCTGGAACCAGTGCGCAAGGAAAAATGATAGAAGAGTTGGGATATCGGACTACGTGCATATAGAGATACGAATTGTGAGTGGTCAAGCACACAAAGTACATGAATTGGTAAAGAAGACTTGGATACCAAACTTGATGTAGTCATGTTATAAATAAAAAATAAGAAGAAAGAGACATGCAACTTCGCTTAATACACTGTTGTATGTAGTGGGGTTCCTGTACAATGTAGATCAGTGGCAGGAGTGGCAATTTTAGTAAGTGAAATGTGGAAAAGCTGGTCAGAACTATACAGTGAGTGGACGAAAGACTCGTTACTCGTGTATTTAAGGTATCAAGGTATTATCTAGATATTATTTCCGTATATGCCCAAAAGAAGATAGAAAATATTATTCAAGTAACTTCTATATGTGCTTACCAAACGTCACTAACTCCTAATTACAAATGACTATAAGGCATTGGGACGCGATATAAATGCCAGAATTGGACGACTGTCTGTTAAAAAACTTAATTGGAATAAATAGAGAAAAATTCTAAACCGAAATGGAAAATGTTACAGATGTTTGTGAATTTTAAACTCATAAAGAGTAAAACATACGTTCATAAGACATCTAGAAATTCACAAATTTACCTGAACAAACTGTGGATAAATCAGGTCAATAATGGATTATTTAATAACAAATTCGAGAAACGCAAAATATTCCTAGATGTTCTGGCCACTTCTTCCTAAAGGATAAACTAGTTCATACAGTAAAATGCTTAGAAGCATTTCGCATTGAAAAATTTGGATCAGTTCGTTAGAAAATATCCTTTGAACGTTAATAAACATTTTGATCTAGTTTTCACAGAGAAATTTGGGTTTTCGAATAACTTCGTAAGACTGCAATAATGTTCAAACAACTCTCGTAATATAAATAGTAACGACGTAAGAGATATTCCAAAAATATTTCCCTTTTTGTAAATATTTCAAAACTGTACATTTTTTAAAAATCTAAAGAACTCATCAAAATGGCAGTTATGCATTTTGCACTACCCGTATTAAAAGTTCAAAAAAATTGGAGTCGTTTCTGAAAAAAATTCATTCGATCGTATGTAAAAAAAATGCTCGTTCTGAGCCCATTTTTACAGAATACTGAGTTTTTGAGAGGTCATTATAAGCACTTTCACTCAAAAAAGCTAAACTATATAAAAAGTCCGTAATTGAAATATTAGCGACATGAGAGGTATAAAACTCAAAACAATACATTAAAAGGCATTTATATCATGTTATTAAGTGCTTTTAACTTAACCGTGCAAATAGGTGAAAGAAAAAAATGTACCCTTTTTAAAGAGTTCTTTTAATTTTTTATTTTTTTAATTGCCTTTAACGCAAAAGAACTTGTTTTGAAAAATATGTCCATGACATCATTTTAAGATCTTATTTTAAACATTATGATGTAGAAAAAGAATTTCTGTCTTCAGTAGTCGTAGAAAACAACACCAATTTTTTCAACTTTTGCAATTTTTAAAACTTCAGATAGCTCAATGAAAATAGGACTTGAACCATTATTAAAAAAGAATTTGTCTTGTAGGATAAAAGAATTAATACAAACATTTGAAGCCATTTTTGAGAAAAAATTGAAAAAGTTTTTGTGTGTTAAATGGAATTCTCTATTTGTTATGTCTATTTGTCTATTTGTTATGTAAAATGGTGCTCTGATTTCAAATTTGTGTAGCCTGTATTTGCAACGGGCGAGGTTTCTTTGTAATAGGTTAATAAAAAGTACACACTGTTAAGTTACTGGTTTTCTTTACGGCTCTTACATATTATAATCTCAATTCAAATGTAACTTTGAAACTGTATTTAGTTTGAGTGTATCCTTTTGTAGTGCTCATTTTGATTCTATTTTCTCTTGTAAAATTTGTCTTTAGTTGCAAAATCGTGGTGGAATTGCTCATCGTGTTTGTCGCTCACAACCCCGATATTTTCAGGAAAGAAGCCTAATGTGAATACAGAAAATGTGTATTAAGGAATACGTTACATCTCAGAGCTTGATACTGTGAAGGACTTTGGACACTATATCTTCATAGGTTCCTTGTGTCTTCGTAGGTATCAGCCTTTCTGTTACCAAGAGAATGCGTTCTCCATTCATTCTTTGAACAGGGTCTTTTAATTTTTTCGTTCGATCTTATTATTCAATCTTAGCATTTGACAGGAATTCATCTGCTACTCACCTTGAGGAAATAGAAGTATCAAAAGACCCAAAAGAAGATGGAATGATCAATTAGTAGCAATGGATCAACCTGCCTAATATTCGAGGATGAAGAATTAGAACGTCGCCGCTCTTTGCAGCTTCGGCACTTGGGTTCACACTCAACATTCATACCGTCTCTTCTCTTTTTCCCATAGCTTTGACCGTAAATTACTGGTTGCTGTCTATTTCGTGGGCACGAAGAGAATAGAAGTGCAATTTTTCTATTAGTATCTTTCTCTTTTCAAATCATAGGTAAAGGAGGATCATCGCCCCTCTTAACCTATTCCTGCTATGTGATCGCAATGGTGTTTTATCTCTGCATTCATTGACAAAGGGTATCATTGATAATGACTGATTAACGATGGGATACGTGACTATATGAAGCCATCTCGCCACAGCCACGTAGTCTACAAATATGCTTCTCTTCCACGGGATTCGGTTTCTGAACATTCGTCCCCGGTTCTATTCAAACCCCCTCTACCACTGAGGTCTGCAAAAACTTGAATGACAGTAAAATGTCAATAGTGTCAATATGTTTTTCTTATACAAATATTATAAGTAAGTGTCAAATACATGTCTCATTTACCGCAGAACAATTGTCAGCTTATCTTATATTTTTTCAACATTTATGTGCTGAGGTATCAATTCATCAAACAATATATCTCTCAATAAATTAAATAAATAGTAATTCATGTTTTATAGTCATTACAGAATTCGTTTACATATAATCATTTTAGTCCTACGCGATCTTCAGTACGAAATACGTTGCTTTCAGCGAGTGGTATTATCCACACTGCAAGTTCGCGTGATAAAACAAACATTGCTTTCTGTTCGTGCTTCTCTACTATAAGTTGCG